TGTGTGTCGCGTGTCGCGTGGTGCGTGCGACGATGCTGACACGACTGTGGGGGGGGGACAAAGGTCGTATGGGGTGGCGTTCTTCAGCGTGGGAACGTTCTTGCTGGTGGTCAACGCCCTCCTGGCGGCCTCCATCCCCATATTCGTGTTCCATCTGGGCACCGCCCATAAGGGCACCGGCGCTCTTCTCTACGACTACTGTACGCACCCAACCCCATTTCTCCCGCTTGCGTGTGTGTCGTGTGTCGTGTCGTGTGTGTCGTGCGGTGGTTGTAACGCTCGCATGACCTTCTTCTTCTTGCAGCGGTGGACACGGAGAGGAGCTACACCGTGTCCGTACTGGGCAACGTAGTCTCCGTTCAAGGCACCTCTAGGTGCTTGCTCCCGTGTGTCGTGTGTGTCGTGTGTGTCGTGTGTGTCGTGTGTGTCGTGTGTGTCGTGTGTGTCGTGTGTGTCGTGCTAATGGTAGTCTTCCGAGCAGCAGTAGTAGCAGTAGCGCCAGCGTGTCGTCTTTATCATCATTGCCGTCGTCGTCGTCGCTACCATCGACGCTAGACAAGCGAAACAGAAACAGGGCCGCGCCCTCCGGCGAAAGTCTCACCCCGGTGAAGGGCGCTTCGTCTTCTTCTTCTTCGACCTCCCACGCCGAGCGGGACGCGCTGCGCCCGCCGCCCACTGGCAAGCCCAACGACCAGATCACGTGCCGCATGCTCTCGGGCGACGGCAGCGACAACCTCATCTTCCAGGCCGAGTTCTCCTGGAGCCTCGCCGACCCTCGCGGTACGCTCCGCCCCATATTTTCTACATTTTTTTTTTCCTATTTCCCTCCTTCATAGTCATTGAATATGTTTTTGCTAAATTTCAATGACAGGCGGGTATTTGAGCGTGAACTATATTGTGGAGATTCTGCACATCATCGAGTACGAGGAGACGGACGGGCTCGCGGGCTACCAGCGCGGCGAGGAGCTGTTCATCTTCGGCAACAGCACCGGCAAGGAGGCCGTGTGGGACTCCTGGAATGTCTTGAGTACGTGTCGTTGGTCGTGTCGTGTCGTGTGTTCCATGGAATGAGTGATGCTGATGATTGGCGTGGAACCACACACACACACACACAACACACAGACCGCACGCAGAACGACACGAAGATCCAGAACTGGCACGCGTACACGACGGACAGCATCTTCTTTGTCCACGGCAGCGTGAGCGAGCGCAAGGTCATCGACCAGCGATTCGGCCACAACCTCACCTCCAATTCCATCCGCGTCGACCTCATCATCACCGACTTCCCGTTCACCAGGTACCTCACCGGTGGGCGGTGGTGCGTGCGGTGGTGCATGTGCGGTCCACATCTTAACTTGGCGGCGGCGGCGGCGGCGTCGTCGTTTCTATACAGACCGAACACGACGCTGGCGCTGGTGATGCGCGTGCGCAGCAAGGACCCGATGGTGCTGGTCACCGCGCCGGTGCCCACGTCCGAATCCGGGGTCCACATCACCCAGATCGGCGGCGACGGCAACGACGGCAAAGACGGCAACGACGGCGGCAATACCAAGGGCGACCCTGACATCGACGTCGGCGACGATGACGTTATGGACGCGTTCAACGACACCGACATCGACGACGACGACTTTGGCGACGCGTTCAACGACACGGAGAGCGACCTTGGGGGCCGCGCGGCCGAGAGGTTTGGCGGCGGCGAGCCGCGCCTGATGCCGTCGCCGCCGCCCTGGGTCCACCAGCGCGTGGTGATCGACAAGGTGGGCAACGGCACCATCACCGGCAACGTCCAGGGCGTGTTCGATTGGCCCCTGCTCGGTACTCGGCCTCTTCCCCTCTCCACCCGCTTTGCTCTCTTGTCACCAAACTGACACGACACGACACGACACGACACGACACGACACGATACGATACGACACGACACGACCAACGACACGACAGTAACGCACGGGCCAAACATCACCGACAATCTGCTGGTGACGGGCGGGGAGCAGTCGCTGGTGCTCGCCGAGCGTCTGCTGGGGGACGAGCTGGACTTCAACGAACCCGGCGGCGGCGGGGTGGCGCCCAAGGAGCTCTCGCGCGTCTTCTCCTTCTCCTTCTACGAGGCCCCTCAGTCGTCCGTCTATCGCTGGTCCTTCAACCTCGGCGTCGACAACATCACCTGATGACCACCACCGTCACCGTCACCATCATCATCTTCGTTTCTCACGTAGTTCGCTCCAACTCGTCGTTTTTGTAATAGTCGTCGTCGTGTACATAAAGCCTCATCACACCAAGAAACAAAACGCAAACAACTCAGAGCTGCTTCGTTTTTCTCTTTCCTTCATTCTCTTTTTGGTGAAGTGGACAATGGAGGGGGAGAGGAGGAGTTACTGAGCGGCGGTCTTCTTCTTCTTCTGGGGCGCGGCCTTGCGGGCCGGCTTCTTGGCCGGGGAGGCGGCGCCGTTGGCCGCGGCGGCCTTCTTGCCGGGCTCCGCGAAGGACACCCTCCTTGGCGTCGCCTTCTGCACGTGGGCCACACACAACACGTGACGCACACGACACACAAGTTGGTGAGATGAACTGCGGGGTGGAGAGAAAGAGAAAAGGTGAAGAGAGGGGTGATGCACCTTGAGGGGCTTCTTCTCCTGCTCCTGCTCGTCCTTCTCCCTCTTGAGCTCGTCCACGAGCTGATCAATCTGATACGGCCAAGAACCCCATCAGACCATTACTCTTATGGAGCGCGCACGACACACACCGCACACGACACACGACACACACACACACACACACACAGGGGGGAGAGAGAGTACCTTCTGCTTCTTGTCCTGCTTCTTCTGTCGCTTTTCCTTCTCCTTGGCGTTGAAGGCGGCCTTCTTCTCCTTCTCCTTGTTCAGCTTTTGGTTGATCTGCGACTCCTCCTTGGAGCTGAGCTCGTCGATCAAGCCCATGGCCTTGTCCAAGCTCACCGCCCGCGCCTTCACACGCACATACACGCCAAGTCGCTAGCACGTTAGACCATGTCATGTGCGTGTGTCGTGTCGTGTCGTTGGTCGTGTGTCGTGTCGTGTGGTGCGCGTACGTCAATCTGCTTCTCGGAGCTCTCGCTGGGACCCTTCTTTTGCTTCTTGGCGGGCTGCTTCTTCGTCTTCTGGGCCGCCGCAGGAGCGGCGGCGGCGGCGGCGGGAGGAGTGGCCTTCGTGACCTTCGTCGTGGCCGCCGCCTCGGCGCCACCGTTCTGCTGCGTCTCCGCGCCGCTTCGCTTTCGCTTGCGCGACTTGTCCGCCGCCACGTCCATGCCGTCCGTCTTCTGCTTGAAGGCCTCGGGAACGGAGAGAAGAGACAGAGAAGCGACAAACTGGCCGTTTTCGATTTTGGCGTCCACAGAGGAGGTATCGACAGTGATTCCCTCCGGGTATGTGAATCTGCGAATTGAAAATTTGTTTCATTAATTAATTGTAGAGATTAATCATGAATTCAACACTGATCTGTTGGAATTAAATCGGAATTGGTGAGCAGTGGTGGAGAGTGACGGGATTGCGAGTTGCGTACTCAAGATGGAACGGCTTTCTGGTGAATTTGGTGGTGTCGAGCAAAAATCTCTTCGCATCGGCATCGAATTGCACGATTTTGTCAGGCACCCGGTGGAGAGGGACGGACACGACCATCACATTGCGCCGCATGTGAAGAAACACAGTGAAAGGCGGCACGATGCCTCCCTGGGGCGGCGTCTTCACCAATGGCACCACCAGCTCCTTAATGTCCTTCTTCGACTTTCCCTTCATCAGGAGCTTCCTCGTGTTGTGCTTCGCCACCTTCTGCGTGCTCATTTTCTACTTTCTATGTAATCTCTTGAGCCAATCTCGGATGTATATGTAAAATGAACAAAATCGCGATTCAATTCGATCTCAAAAAACAGTTTGCCGGCGTTGTAGGTTCCGCCATATTTCCCGAATCGATGGCCGGATTTTACCCGGCGTCTATACACCGAAAACTTGTTTTTTTTTCTCTTCGTGTTGTGCTTTCGTTGCTGGGCGTCGCTGACTTGCCCGGGTTCTCTCGTTCCATCCATCCATCCAAACAGCACACCGCCTCAACATAAAGAAACCTTTGACCTCATCTGTTGGAAAGGTGTAGCTGTGCTTTTGAAGAGCCAGTCTAGAAATCGCGGAGATGATGAGACACACCGTCGCCGTGTTTCTGTGCGCTCTTGCGCTGCTGTTTGTGACCCTCACCGGCGCGCAGAATCAACGCCCCACGCCCCTCGCCGCCAACCAGTGCGAACTCAACAACCGTACGCCTGCCCTTTTGTTATTATTGTTTTTCTTTATTATTCTAAATTTTATAATTTTATTTTTGGACTCGCTGGGGGGGGCGCAGGGTGTAGCGTCCACTGCTTCTTCCACGGCACCTGCAAGGATGATGGGTCGTGCGCGTGCAAGCAGGGCTGGAAGGGCGTGAACTGCACCGAGCCCACCTGCGACTCCTGCGGCAAGCACGGCCACTGCACTCCCCATGGTACTCTCTCCTTGCCACCACCAACCCCCTTTCATCTTTCATCTTTCTCTTCTCTTTGTTTTTTCAAGCCCTTGCCATCTTTTGGCCTCTACACGCTTTTCGACCACTGCTTGGCTGGCGTCTACGGCGTCTGTTGTTGACTTTGATGATGGTTGCTGATCTGCCCACTACCACCACTACGTAGGCTGCAAGTGCTCGGTGGGCTACACGGGCGACGACTGCAGCCGGCTGGTGGGCGTGCTCCCCTTCACCCACCCGTACTGCAGCCTCGAGGGCGAGTGCGTGTGCGACGCCCACGGCAACCACTGCGATAGCGACTCCCGTACGCTTGACACCTTCTTCTCGATGACCAGTCTTGAAGAAGAAGCCACGACCTGAGACTTTACTTACACGCTCGCCTTCGATCGCACCACCGTGTGCACAGGCATCGGACCTGATCTGGTTCCGGTCATGGACACCATTCGCCCCTACGTCGAGTACAAGAACTTCGAGGCCTGCAGCTGTGCGGTTGATGAGGGATGCGCGCAGGCTCGCCCCTCCAAGCTCCTGCGATTCTCCATGGAGACCCTCAACAAGGGGTACGAGTAACCAAACCCGCCGCCGCCGGGTGACACTCGCTCGCGCTCGCGCTCACTCTTTCCGCCGCATAGTAATGCCGATCTGTTCATTGGTGACCCGGGTGACTACATGGAGAGCTACCTCTGGCACCAGTGCCACCAGTGCGTCCGCCACCTCCCATCAATCGCTATCGCAAGCGCAAGGTCCCACTCATATGCGATCATTCATCTGTCCATCCACACAGGCACCCGCACTTCACCCACTGGGTGAACTTCGCGCTGATCCCGCAGTTCGAGTCGGCGCACAACAACACCCGCTTGGGTTTCAAGAGCGGATCCACCATTATCGACTCGCGCCGCCGAGACCAGTCCTCGGCGAGCCTCGTGAGGCGTAAGTTCACCGACAAGCAGCAGGGCATCCAAATCGGCTGGACCGACTGGTGCGTGTCTTTTGTCTGTCTGTCGCGCATCGCGTCGTGTGTTGTGCGTCGTATCGTGTTGTCTGTGGTGTTCTAACGCAACGTACATGGGCTCGATATTGGTAGGTATCCGTACTGGCTCGACTGCCAATGGATCGACGTCACCGGCCTCGAGCTCGGTCCCTACATTTTGGAAGTTGTGGTCAACCCCAACCACAAAGTGTACGCTCTCAACACGAACATTTTTTTTTCATATTCACATGCGACTGTGTTGACCTTCGAGCGACTGTCGCGGCTGTGGCTGTGGCTGTTGCTGTTGTTTGGTATGATCGGCGGGTGGTGATGCACAGGCACGAGATCAACTACGAGAACAACCGCGGACAGATGCTGATCGATTGCCGCCCGTCGTGCGTGCACGGCAAGTGCGACTTCGGCCACTCGTGCGTGTGCGAGCCCGGATGGACGGGCCGCGCCTGCGACCTTGCTGCGGCAGGTAATTAATCATCCCTTTGATCCATCCACAAACACGTTCCTAGTACAGTTATTATAAATATTTTTTGTTATTGTTTTGTTATCTCATAATCACCGTCCCTGTACTCGCTCCACTTTAAGTATTATTATTATTCATATTATTGCGAGTTGTGGTCGTCTACCACAATAAATCATGGACTTGAGATCTTGTCTGCGCGCGCGTGTTTGCGGCTGCGCGTGTGTCGGTGTGTGCGTGTGCGGTTGTGTTCTCTCGACTCAAGAGACACCACATTATCGCTCTACGTGTACGGCATCATTCATCCCCCATTTACTCTGTGCAAGTGAGCAAGTGGAGGGAGCAACGCATCAACCATCGGTCTCTCTTGTTCCCAAATCCTTGCGACCGACCATGGTATGCGTTGCCACCTCCACCCCGCCTCCTCTTCTCTGGGCAACGATGACTTGCGCTGACCCGCAACACTCTCTCTTTCTCTTTCTCTCTCTCTCTTAATTTAATAGAGCGTGCGATTGGCGAGGGAGACGAAGACGAAGGCGACGAGCACGACGCTGTGCTCGACCCGATCGATGCTGATGAGCAGCTGGAGCAGGGGCACGACCTGCGCAGGCGGTACGTGGTCGCGGCTGAGCCCGAGCCCGAAGCCGAAGCCGACGTTGTCCACGACAAGTCAGATGAAGGCCAAGAAGAAACGGAGCAGGAGGAGAGGGTCTGTACGCCGCAGTGCGAGGGGCTGCACTGCGGACCAGATGGGTGCGGTGGCGCCTGTGGCTACTGCGACGACTTCCAGCACTGCTCGCCCGACGTACGTCGCGCCCATGCGCTCCATGCAACACACAATACTCACGTGTGTGTGTGTGTGCAGGGTTTCTGTGAATGCACGCCGCAGTGCCTGCCGGACCGACGATGCGGATCCGATTCCTGCAAGTACGTGGCTGGCTGACGGTGAATGGCTTCTTGTTCGGGTTGGTTGACCTGGCCATCGTGTGCGGCTACGCAGTGGACTATGCGGTGAGTGCCTGGAGGACGAGATCTGCGAGTCTGAGCATAGCCAGTGCGTCATTTGCGAGGAGACCTGCGCGTCGGGCATGTGCGGCTACCTGTGCGACGGCCAAACCATCTGTCCCTGCCCGTACATCTCCTTCACCCTTTTCTTTATTCTTATTTGTTTGTATCTTTTTTATAATAGTTTAATTGTTTATTTTACGTATTTATTTACGTATTTACGTATTATTTTGTTCATTAATTGATTGCGGCGGTGGCTGTACGGGTAGGGACGGATGGTTGTGCGACGAGAGCCGGACCTGCGTGTGCGTCCCGCAGTGCGAGGGGAAGGAGTGCGGAGCGAGCGACGGCTGCGGCGGTACCTGTCACGTGGCGGGCTGCGGCAACAGCACCTGCGTCCCCAACTGCCACAACCGCGCGTGCGGTGATGACGGATGCGGCGGTTCCTGTGGTCAATGCGCAGAGCACTTTGTCTGCCTCGAGACGGGTACGTACACTACAGCTCTCAACCCCCTTCCTGAACATTGCCATTCACACACACAACTCATCCCGCACGACACGCACGACACGCACGTACACTACACATATACACGCTGCGCAGGCCAATGTGATTGCATTCCTGATTGTGACGGAAAGCAATGCGGACCGGACGGCTGTGGCGGCTCGTGCGGCGACTGCTCCGACACTTCCGAGGGTAGATCCCTGTGGTTCCTCCCTGAGACCGCTTCGTCAGTCGACTGACGCCGCCCACGCGCGCCCGACACATACACACAGGCCACTGTTTCAACGGTCAATGCTACTGCGATGATTCCTGTGCCGACATCGAGTGCGGCTACAACCAGTGCGGACGCGTACGTGTGGCCTTTTCACTTATCACCACCACGCACCACGCACCACGCACCACGCACCACGCACCACGCACCACGCACCACGCACCACGCACCACGCACCACGCACCACGCACCACGCACCACGCACCACGCACCACGCACCACGCACCACGCACCACGCACCACGCACCACGCACCACGCACCACGCACCACGCACCACGCACCACGCACCACGCACCACGCACCACGCACCACGCACCACGCACCACGCACCACGCACCACCACAGCCGTTGCTCACCAACCGGTCGGTCGTCGCAGTCGTGCCCGAGCATCGACTTTGACTGCAGCGAGGCGAGGAAGAGCCACGGCGGTCACAACTTTGTGTGCCTTCTGAGCAAGTGCGCGTGCGAGTCGACTTGCGACGGCCTCGGCTTCGTCGCGTGCGGCCCCGACCACTGCGGCGGTGTGTGCGGCGATTGCCCCTCGGGTAAGTGACTCCTTCGGTTCGGCCTCTTGTCCGTTTGCTTGCTCACCCGCAGGTGGTGCAATGGATCTTGGTCAGACATGCGCTGCTTCAATGACTGGCGATGCGTCGAGAAGCGCGACGCGGGCGTGGCTCTGCGCGGCTACGAGGTCGAGATGCACTACCTCACCACCGCGTTTGTCCCGCCCCACAAACCCGTACGCGCACCCACCAATCGCCCACGACACACACACGACACACACGACACATACGACACACACACACACACACACACACACAACGTGTCTCATATCTGACGTGATGGGCTTGCGCAGTCTCGGTCTGCGCGAGCGTCAGACGACGCACAGGAGCTCGAGCGCGCGTACGCACTCTCTTTGCTTAGTGGTCTTCTATTATACATGTATCCTTACATTCTTGGTGACAGGCGGTGGCTGCGTCACGTGACGGGCCTGCTGGGCGTGCCGACCGGAAGCGTGGTCGTGCACAACTGGACGCAGACGCGGGTGGAGGCGGACCACCAAGGCAACACCGACGCGGTGGTGGTCGCCTTCTCGCTGATGAGTCTCCGCATCGGCCACCCCTTGGCCAACGCCAGCGCGTCGACCAACGCCACCGTGCTCGCCCTGCTCGCCACCGCGCCCAGCGTGTTCGCCGAGCGACTCATCAACACGACCAGCGACGCCGCCTCCCGGCTGCAGCACTGGGACAACCGCGGCTTCTTCTCCGTCGCCATCGGCCCGGGCTCGCCCGGCGGCGGTGGCGGCAGCGGCGCCGACCCGAACGACGAGAGGTGGGAGCGATTCGCGACCGTGGTGGTGCTCGGGCTGGTGAGCGGGGTGGTGGCGGTGGGCCTGGTGGCCGTGGCCATCATCGCCGTCGTCCGGTGGCGTCGCCGACGGAGCCAGCAGACCGGCCTCTCCTGGGTCCTCACCGAAGAGGAGGAAGGTCTCTAACCACTCTCTTGCTCCCAAGCAAAAAAACAGTTCTATTCGTTTCGTTTCGTTTCGTTTCGTGTGCAGTTTTGTTTTGTTTTTTATCTTTTGCTGTGGCGAGATGGAAGTGGAGGTGGTGCAGGTGGACGCATTCGCGGCGGAGCCGTTCAAGGGCAATCCGGCGGCTGTGTGCTTCCTCCCCACTTCGTCGGGAGAGCACCAGCGCGGCTGGCCTTCCGACCAGTGGCTGCAGCACCTGGCGGCCGAGATGAATCTCTCCGAGACTGCCTTCCTCCTGCCCTCAAGTGCCGCCACTCCCTCATTTTTATTATTATTTATTTTGATTATCTCTATTTTAGGATTAAATATTTGTATTTTTCCCTCTTTTTTGGTTTCGCTGGGCAGGCGAGGGGGAGGCGCACTACGAGCTGCGATGGCTGACACCGACGGTGGAGGTGGAGCTGTGCGGGCACGCCACGCTCGCGGCTGCCCACGCCCTGTTCGAGTCGAAGCGCGTCGCGCCGCACCTCCCGATTGTCTTTCACACGCGCAAGGCCGGTCTTCTCACTGTGCACAAGCATCAAGGTACGCACTACCACACACACGCACGACACACGCGCGCACCACCGCACACGCGCACGCACCACCGCACACGCGCACACGTTGCTGACTGTGTGCTGCCGCAGAGTGGCTGCAGATGGACTTCCCGGCCGAGCCGCCGGTGGCTGTTCCGCCCGCGGAGGTGCCAGCCGGCCTTCTCCCCTCGCTGGGACTCACCGAGGATCAGGTTCGAACCGTCGGTGCATTCCGTCATAGCTCTGTTCTGAGTTCTTCTGAGTTTGGGGCTGTGTGTGTGTGTGTGCGTGGTCGGTGTGTGTGTGTCCTGTAGGTGGTGGCGGTTGGACGCAACAGGTGGGACCTCTTCGTCGAGGTGCGCGCGGCGGCCCAGGTGGTCAGCCTGTCGCCCGATCTCGCGCGCCTGGCCGCCGTGACCTCGCGATGCGCCGTCGTCACCGCCCGCGCTGAGGGTCCGTCTCCCGACTCCGACTCTGGCGTCGACTTCGTCTCGCGGGTCTTTGCGCCCGCGGCCGGGGTCAACGAGGACCCGGTCACCGGCTCCGCGCACTGTGGGCTCGCGCCCTACTGGCGCCAACGGCTGCAGAAGAGCAGCCTCCGCGCCTTCCAGGCCTCCAAGCGCGGTACCCCCCCCCCACACGCGCCTGTGTCGTGTGCATTAAATAATAAATAAATAAAGATAAGATAAAGATTAAGATAAAATACACTCACACTCGCGACAGGCGGGCAGCTGCGGCTCGAGGTCACCGACGAGGGGCGAGTGCTGATCAGCGGACAGGCGGTGACCGTCTTCCACGCCCACCTGCGCCGCCCGCCCAATTATGATGACGCCAGCCAGTGACGTTGGGACACATTTGCTTGACTTCGCTCCAAAACAATAAAGTGAGTCTCACTCTCATTTTCTACCGAGAGCACCGGCAACAGGTTTGTTGCCTTGGCGTGAACTACCCAAGCCAACGGACCACAGCATGACTGCTGGGTTCATTGTCGCTTCAAGAAAATCAGAACCTTTGGGTTTTCTGTGGAGTTCAATGACCTGGAAGATGACATTGGCATGAATGGGCGCTGACTGATCCAGGAGTGGGACTGATTGGAGAGGGAGCAAGGCAGCAGTGTGGTTTCCATACTGTATAGCCTTGGCTCCATGTGCAATGAGTGTTATTTCAGCAGGTGTGCAGGTTGGCTGGCTCATGCTGCAAATCAGAAGGACCCACTGATGTTGTCAGAGCCTTGGGGATCCTCATCTGAATCAGCATGCACAGCAACCCACAGCCCAGGAGCAAAGTTGAAGCATACTCTTCTTGCTGATGAGATACTTGTTGCCTGCCAGGATCTGTTTGTGCTGTTCAGCTGAGATGAGCTTGAGGATGTGAAGCAGAATTGAATAGGAAATCACTTGATTGTGAAGATAGAGAGGAGTGATGGTAATGGATTTGGCATACAAATTATTGAGGTAGGTGGGAGTCTTGGTCCAACTGTCAACACTGAGGAACTTCTTCAAAATGTGTAGTTGTGCAGATTTTCTTGTAGGGTCTTCTGTTCAGCCTCATTGAGCTTCTGAGTGGATAAGTGGTAGAGTGAGAATGTGTTTAGACTTGGGTGCTGCACTGAAATGTGATTTTTTTCATTGCATATGTGTACACAATGACATATACCATTAAGCTGATGAGCTTCTTCCAGTTGATGGATTGTTCACCTCATGTAGTGGTCCAGAACCTGTCAGTGTGCAGGGCATTGCAGTGCTGGAAGAAGTCCTCCCACTCATCCTTATTAATGGCAGCCTTGTCATGCAACAACATGAATGTCATCTTGTTGTTCTGGATATGGAAATGGTATTAGTTAGTGCAGGGACACCCAAAATACCATTGAAGAAGCAAAATGTACATTGACAATGTTGCAACACCACTTCCCAGGGAAAAGCCACCTTGCTGTCTGAACACAATGATGAAGGACACAGTGGTATGGCCAAGGACACAGCAACGGGCACAGTGATGAAGGGGATGGTGACAAAGGACATGGCAAGATGCTGAGCTTGAACTCATCCTTCTCATGTGATTGGGAAGTTCACATTTGGATTGAGCAAGAATGTTGAGCATATGAGCACTGGTGCTGCAGGTCTTGCAGTGCTTGGTGGCTGTTTTCTTCTCTGTGTTCTCACATTCAAATTCATTTACCATCTCCTCCCTCTCTTCTGCTGTCCTCATGTCACTTCCAGTGTTGAGTTGATGGTCAGGCATGCTTGCCATTTTACTCATTCTCCTGAGTTGTGCAAGCTTGCTCTGCATGGTGCTCTGTGCTTTTATTGGTGGTTCAATAAAATTAGATGAAATGGTGTACTCTGAGAGCAGGTGCAACCAAATGACAAGTGCCAAAAGTGTGCAGGCCAGGTGGATGTGCAAGGGTGACAATAATATTGGGGTGATAGTGAAGCATATAGGCTGAAAGTGTGAGGATGGAAGGCTTATTTGTACCTGTGGTCACCTTGCACATACTCCCTCCACTTGCTCCTCCTGCCTTTTTGGTGCATAACATTTTTGTTTGTTTCCAAATTTAATATGTAGTTATTGTGCCAAACCTGCAGTATGGACTGTCCACCACTATGTAGGGTATGTTGCTGTATTTGTATGTTGAGCACATCTTGCAGTGTGTTGAGAGAGAGTCATATGACAAGCCCAGGCGCCTTGCTATGCTGGGTCTTGTTCAAGGGGGATGAGCAGTGAACTTGTCACCTTGCACAATAACTAAAGCAGTCTTCCCTCTGTTGTGCTGGTGATATGGAACAAGGAATTTGAGATTCTTGTCATTCTTCCTTTCTGAAGACCCAGCAGACACCATTAGCAAAACCTGTACTAAGCCAGACAAAAACCCCTTAAACAGGGGGGGATGTAGCACTATCTGGAGTGTCAAACAGTCATTTTCCTGGCGAAAAACCAAACCCAATTCTCGCACCACACAAATTCCATGGGCGGTTTCTCCCATGACACCTCTCATCACAGGCCTCACGTAGTATGTTTCACAAAACCCCAATCATCCTTCTCTTGCACATATATATATACCCGCTGTCCACCCGTTTTTACACACCCTTCTTCTCCTGCTCGTCACAGACAGAGAACGCAATGCATCGTGTTTTGGCCGCCATCTCCTTCCTGTTGCTGCTATCCTCGGCGTATAGTGTTGCGGCTCCAGGAAGAGGCAACAGCGCATGCGCCCAATTCTGCGCGACCATGTCCGACAAAATCGACGACCGAGCGGGCCAGTGCACAAGGGCGGCTGCCCACCACCAGGCAGCCTCTCTTTGCTCCGTGTGCGGTCCGGCTGCTCCATCTGGTCACCCCGACCCTTGCAAGGTTGGCACGGCTGGCGCGATGTGTTGCCCTTCGAGTGCGCCAGTCTGTTGCGGTAACTCCCAGTGCTGCCCATTCGGATGTGACGGCGGGTCATGCGCATGTGTCCCCAACAATCAACCCTGCACGATCGATAACTTTGTAAACTGCTGTAGCCAGTGTTGCTTATTTCCAACCGGAGACCAGAATAATGGGGTGTGCTGCGATATCTAAAAAATATATTTATCTATATGCCGAGGGTAGTCGGGACCCAGGGCGCTCGCAGTAGAGACATTTGCGCAAGGAAGTAAGTGCACAAAGTCATGGCAGCCACCGCCAAGCAGGACCAAACCAGTACTTGCCCACAACCTTGGGCGTGAGATGGGCAAGTATCCCTTAACTTTATCACTCTCCCCTTTCGAGGTTCTTTCCCCGCACTCAGCGGGCTGTTCAGCCAAGGCAACAAGCCTGTAGGCCCATAACGGCAGCAAGCCTTTCGGGTGGTGGGCTGCGTTCTCGGGGTAAGAACGAACTTTCGTCCCGCGGACCACAGAAGAACCGGGTTGGTCGGGCGAGGGTAGCCACGACGGACTTAGTGTTGCGTGACACCCAGGCGTAACAGAGCCACAACTAATTTCAGTGTTGAGCTAGCTTGAGTTACACCCAATCACGCTTGCGCTTAATCAACTCATGATCGTTGGACCTTGGCGCGACCTACCATAACAGCACCATAGTTTGTATCCCCGATTTAACCGGGTGGGCTCTCATAGTGGCTCTCAGAGCGCACCGTCTCCTCCCGACACGGTGGTTGGTTGGACACTGAACTACAATTCTGGTTGGCTGCGGTCTCGCATAAAACCGAACGGCGCCGAGCTTCAAAGAACACAGTTCTACCAACACCCACAACTACACCTGTACCCATACCTGTACCCATAGACCACCCATCATCACGATGAAGTCCTTCGCACTTCTGGCCCTGGCCATCGCTATCGCCCTCTTCGCTGGGTTCGCCCAGGCGCAGGACATCCCGATCCCGTACGACCCCGTCAACCCGCCGGCGCCGGTCAAGTTCAACCGCGACCGGTTCCAGATTTGGAACGTCAACACGTCGGCCTTCTGCTTCTTCGACTGCCCCGACGTGCCCCTGTACCCCGCGGCGTGCCCCTTGACCTGCCGCCAGTCCAACCGGACGAGCGTGCAGCAGTTCATCGTGTCGTCGGCCTACAACAAGATCGTCCAGAAGGGCTGCTGGATGGAGGCCCCCGTGAGCGAGGTGGGCTTCCTTGGCGGCCTCGTCGGCGGCTCGCGCTGGTGCTGGCCCAAGAACGCCACGGGCGCCGGCGGCGTCGGCCAGGACGGCGACGTGCACTGCAAGGGCGCCGTGGGCAACGTGCCGCTGCTGCCCTACGACTGGATCCGGTTCCACAAGATCGCCGGCGTGCAGGCCAACTTCTTTTACCCGTACGACACCATCCGCATCTCGTCGACCAAGAGCGGGAGCTACTGCTCGGCGCACCCGACCGAGTCGCGGTTCGACTGCGAGAACAAGCCCAACGCGTGGCAGGGCGATCGCTTCCAGCTCATCTTCGTCGCCTCCAACCTTAACGAGGGCTGCCCCGGCTTCGACTAAGTAGCTTGTACAACAATCCACCACACCCTGTGATTCTACAAAAAACCAAACAAAAATGTAGATAAAACGCAACGTTGCCTCCTGTACCTGCTTGCTGCTTTTGGTTGATGATTTGGCTGTTGGGTAGTTGCCCTATGCTGGTGGTTGCGCCACGGGGTCTAAGTTTTGGCTCGGTCAAGGGCACACATGTCTTATGTGTGGCCTGGTCGATTTATTGTTACCAGGTCACCTAGCAGTCGGCCAGCGACGCCGCGGCGGAGAACGCTGATGCAAGCACAACAGCGACAAATTGATCTACTTCGCCCCAGCCG